ACGCCTCGGCCTTCTTGCAAAGTAGACGTCTGAAGACAGCAAGTGAGATTTTGCATCTGCTGAGCAGTGCAGGCCTCAAATCTGTGGTCGAGACACGTAAGGATTCAGGCAAAGATGATGACCGAAAGTTCTTAGCATGTTGAAGGGATCCATGCTCCGGTCGAGTGAGACCTCGCAAAGCCGCTTCTGCTGGGGTCACCACACCTCTCCGTATGTTTTCCTTGTCCTATCCACGTCGTCAAGCGCTGCGAAGTAGCCGTCTCAACACAGGACATCGGATTCTTTTCATCCAATATTCCGTGCTGCTGGCTTCCGGCTTTCTGTAGGCTGCAGTTGTTCGTGACCAGTCGCAGCACGAAGAAACCAGGAGTGGTAGAAAAGTGTCAGGGGCCTGCATTCTTCTCAGTTCTTGAAGAAAGTCACTCATCCAGTCTGCTTGGAAGAGAGCCAGACTGAAACCCCAAACCGTAGCCCTAAACCCTAATGATTGTCGGAATTCATGCTGAGTGGCCAAGTTTGGGGGCACCTCCCTGTGGTGGAGGTTTTAGAGGTCATTGTCCCACCGCCCTGCGCCGAGGTGGTGGGCTCATGGCCAAAAGCTTCATCCAGATGCAGAACAGTTCGGCGCAGTTCGAGAACTGCACCGCAGAATACGGAGCCTCGGCGGCAGCGTGGAAGTTGCCGAGCCCTGCCAAGCCGCAAGCCCACGCCAACCAATAAGTCTTTTCCCCTTTGTACAAGGGTTGTGCTGAGCATGGGGTTGTGCTGAGCATTTGACGCGGGTTGGTCGATTCGGTAGAAAAGCAGGCGCTTGAAATTGAAGTTGCAGGGTCCCATTTAGCAGTTAGTACAGTCTTCAGTAGGTCCTTGGAATTGACGGCAGGCCGGTCTGATGCTTGAGCAGGGCAGGCGTTGAATCGAACTTTTGGTAGAGATGCGCACGGCTCTGCGGTCAGGATTGCGAAAAGTGCTTGCCCCAAGCCCTGAACCCTGTCCATGCTCCTGTCAGATGAGTGATGGGGACGTGGTACTTTGCCTCTCTCTGCGTTTCTTTAAGTCCTCTCCACGCCTCGGCCTTCTTGCAAAGTAGCCGTCTGAAGACAGCAAGTGAGATTTTGCATCTGCTGAGCAGATCAGGCCTCAGATCTGTAGTCGAGATGCGTACAGATTCAGGCAAAGATGATGACCGAAAGTTCTTAGCATCTTGAAGGGATCCATGCTCCGGTCGAGTGAGACCTCGCAAAGCCGCTTCTGCTGGGGTCACCACACCGTGCCTCAGTCTTTTTTTCTCCGCATGTTTTCCTTGTCCTATCCACATCATCAAGCGCTGCGAAGTAGCCGTCTCAACACAGGACATGAGATTTTTGCATCCAGTATTCCGTACTGCTGGCTTCCAGCTTTTTGTATGCTTGAATTGTTCGTGACCATTCACAGCCCCAAGAAACTTGGAGTGGTAGGAAAGCATCGGGAGCTTTCATTCTGCTAACTTCTTGCAGAGTCTCATAGAAGCGCGGTGCGCGCGCCCTGCAAACCGAAAAAGTCATGCGAAGTCGTGAAAATCCGAAGAGCAGGTGCCCCAGGTCATGCGAAGGCGAAAAACACGAGAGAAGGTGACCTGTTACTGTTTCGCTACCAATATAACCCTATATAACCCCATATAATGTTGGTAATTATTTAGGCCCCTATATTATGTTGCTAGAAAGCCATCCTGAAGCTTCCGAGTCGTTTTGTGGGTTGTTGGAGCTTTGCCCCCTCCCTGGCAAGCAATGGTCGTGATGACCGAAGTCTAGCAGGTTACAACTAAACCCACCCTGCAGGTGCTCGTACATCTCGTACTGAGATATTCCATGATGGACAGACAACGGGAGGTTTTGGCGTTGAGGGTGCATTCCCAAACCCTAAGTCCTAAAGAGTAGTGTCCATTTTCTTTTCCATTATCCGTATGTAACCCCAATATAACCCCAATATGACCCCTAAACCCTAAACCCTTATACTCCCCTGCCCAGTTGAAAGCGCAGAGCACTCTCAAGCTGGCTCCCCAACTCAAGTAATCATAGGGGGATCCCAATATAGACCCCAAAATACTATAGTCCTTCCCAAAGAAACCACCGCAAGCTCAGCCGGGGTTTCGGAAGGCTTTTTTTCAGCCCTTCCCAGGCGGTGGCGCGCGCGTCTATGACGTTTTCAGCCAGGTCAATGCCTCCGCCACCTTCCGAGGCTGCAGAGCTGACGACGAAGGTATTCCGGCGGCACTGAGCTGTTGGTTTTTTCAAGGCACAGCAGCATAGGTGGTACCCAGCCTCGGGGGCATTCTACAGTTCTGAGGACTTGAGATGTGGGCAAAACCCTTAGCAGCCAGTGTCTTCTGACGGGGTTGGTCTTCAAGAGGAAAAGGGATTTGTGCTAGAGAGGGAAAGCCCGGAAAATGGGGCCTTAAAGCTGGGTGCCCGGATTCTTGGCCTGCGCCTTGCAACTGAGCCCGAGGCGGAGGGCTGAACGCACTCAGCTTCGACCAGGACCAGGGAGCGGTGGCGGAGTTTGCCAATTGCAGTGCAAAGAACAATGGAGCCTTGGCGGCATTCAGTCTTTGAGCCCCAGCTCAACTGCAGCCTGTCTCGGAGTCTTCTATGCAGACAGGCATCTTGCAGTTTCGTAGGAACTTCTGGCTTCCTCCTGTACTCTTATGGAAAGTGATGTCAGGCTGTACATAGTTTGTTGCCGCATCAACTCGGTTTGGAGTCCTTCGGAGTCCCATGATCCGTACATCGGCAGGCTCTTGAAAATCACATGTTCCAGCTGTGTGCGTACTGGGGCATGGACCTTTGATTCAAGAGGGCCTTAAGCCAAGGGCAGGTTCCGGGTCTGATACCTGCTGAGCAGAGCAGGCCTCAAATCTGTGGTCGAGACACCTAAGGATTCAGGCTAAGATGATGACCGAACGTCCTTAGTATCTTGAAGGGATCCATGCTCCCATCGAGTGAGACCTCAGAAAGCCGCTTCTGCTGGGGTCATCACACCGTGCCTCAATCTTTTTTCTCCGTATGTTTTCCTTGTCCTATCCACATCATCAAGCGCTGCAAAGTAGCCATCTCAACACAGGACATGAGATTGACGTGAGATTTTTGGTATCCACTGGACTAGGCCGTTCCTGGAAATGAGATTATGTCTGTGTCTCCTTCGGCTTTTCTATGACCGGTCACAGCCCGAAGAAACCAGGAGTTGTAGAAAAGTGTGACGGGCTTGCATTCTTCTCACTTCTTGAAAGTCAATCAGACAACACCGGCGTGCACGGACGGCAAACCCACAAGGGGCCGGGTGAACGTGCGCAAAACCAGAGAGCGGGTGACCTGTTATGTTTATAGTCCCCCTTGAGTAGATAGAATATGGCTTTGGGTATGTTAAAAATAAGATCCCCATATACTCCATATTCTATCTACTTAAACCCTAAACCCTAAATCCTTGACAACCCTAAACCCAAGGGGGATTATAGCTACAAAATCCATTCAAAATGTCATCCTGAAGCTTTGGAGTCGTTTTTGTGCCTTAAGGGTTTAGGGTTCAGGGTTTAGGGTTCAGGGTTTAGGGTTTAAGTAGATAGAATATGGGGTATATGGGGATCTTACTTTTAACGTACCCAAAGCCATATTCTATCTACTCAAGGGGGCTATATAACTAAAACGACCCTTCGGGTACTGGTACTGAAATCTTCCATCACACACAAATCCCGGCAGCATGCTAAATTGCGGCCGAAAGCCTGTTTCGTAATTTTGAGACTTTCTGGATGTGCCCGTTCTTCTTGTCAGGGGATTATATGGGGGAGTATTATAGGGGTTATTCAGGGGGATACTAGGGGTTTAGACTATAGCTCATATCACGGAGCTTCATGGCTAAGATGGCCAAAAGTGCTTGGCATCCTGCACGGGGCTCTCAGTTCTTCTCACGAAGTAGCGTCTGAACACAGCAAACGAGATTTCAGATCTACAGCCCTGTACATGAGAACCAGAAATCACTGTGCTCCCTTCCTGCTGTTTGTAGATCTCCTGGTTCTTGGATGGTCGCAACCCTGAGAAACTGGCAGTTGTAGAAGGGAATTTTACAGACCCACAGGACAATGCCGGGGTGGGCGGCCTCCCGAGAGAGTGGTCAGGGGAAGGGCGTATGCCAACCTAGATAGCAGTGTCGTCAGACAGTCTTATGGCCCAGCAATGTTTTGGAACCAAGTCATCGCGAAGCTTCAGAGTCATGATGTGGAAGCGCATGTGGTCTTTGTGGATTTGTCCCAGCCTGGCGCAGTCGCAAGGACGGATCTCAAAGCCATACTTTGCGGCAGCCGCTATATGGACGGCCTTGCTTTTACCAGCGAGTAAACTCCAAAATGTTGTTTTCTCCATGACGTATAGACCCTGGCAACATACAGAAGTGGAGCCACAAGAAGGCTCCCATTTCACAACTCTGACAGTGCGGTCTTCTTATCTTGCATATCACGGAGGCCGACAGTCGAGCGGGTCAAGTTCTCGTGGAGTGCAGTTCGGTGTCTGCAGCATCAGACTGCAGCAGCAGTTTGTAACTTGAGGATGATGCGAGCGGGTTTCGGAGTTCCAGGTGCATTCACCTGCCCAGTTAAAATTTGAGAAGGGGCAGATGACTGTTTGTCATGCCCCCAAGCTCGGGTGCTTTCACCAAGAGACCTCAACAGAGCCAGCCTAGAAGCTTTGCAATGTGGAGGCGAGCACTTCCGCAAGACTGGAGGGAAGGGGACCGGCGCGGCGCAAGGTAGAACAAACTTCAGACAAAAGCCTTCTTTTTGCTCCGTGGCACTCGGCTTGTAGGGATACCGAGACCCGAGGCCTGGCCTTTCGCGAGCGGTGGCCCGCCGTAGCGTTGCCATCGGTGTCAGCCCTCCCTTCCCACTCGTTGTTATTCATTTGTATCTAGCCGTCCACGGAAGCTCAAGCGCTCGCTGTCCACATCTGGTTGCACTTCCGGAGCGTCTGAGACTTGCATGCGGTTGCTACAGTTCACGTTGAGCTGGTCCAATCCAAGTCTTCAAGACGCGGGGGGGCAGCCATGAGTAACCAGTGAAAAAATGATTGAGTGCTTGGTAGGCAACGTCTCCAAGGGCCCCAGTGGAATGAGACCAGAAACCTGCTTCAAAAACACGTCCCGATTCCTTTTTTTCTCGCTACAAAGAGGGAAAGAGTTTTTTGGTAGAGGGAGACCCAGAAAAATGCAGCTACGGGCCGTTTAGGGCCCTGCGCCTGAACTTTGCGCCCAAGGTGGAGGAGTGTGGACAGAACTCTTCCAGCAGGAGGAGACAGCATCTGCGGAGTTCGGCAACTGCTCTGCAAAGCACGGAGCCTTAGCGGCATCCAAATCCAAGGAAGATTCTGGAAGTAATCTGTTCTGTGGCAGTTGCATAGGGTTTTTGGGTAGAAGCGCTTCGGATTTGTGCATTTAACTCTGCCGACATACATCAGGACTGCCTGTCATCGGTAGGTAGGCTCATGTAAGCAGTCTGCATCAGGTCATTCACAAAAAGCCACAGCTGCGCTGCGCTCATCCCTAGTCCCTGTAGTCGTAGTACTTCGGCCATGGCCTGCATACCTAAACAATACTCGTATGTAAGATGTTTGCCCATCGCCTGACATTTGCGCCTCATCCGGCCAGATGCAATAGATGGCCGGCATTGAGTCCATAAGCAAGATGCCTTGCGCTTCTTTAGGCTACCAATTCATAGAGACCCGGCTGCAGAAACACTCCAGCCTCAAATGCCTGGCACATTGCCTGACTGCGACCCCCCTGCTTCCTGCGGATTCTCAGGGGGCGGGCTCTATCCAGAAGAGCTGCTTTTTGGCAGCGGCTCCGGTGTCTTCAGGACGTGCCACGCGGAAGAAGGCAGTCGAGCTAGCTGCAGCACCTGGAAGCACTGACTTCTCTGAACAACGTAGCATCAGTAGGTTGCCCTCTTCCTCCTGAACCTCGCAGCTGGTTGTGCACAGTTGCCTGCTGCCGCGTCGACAACAAACCCTGCCCAGCAAGCATTCTCTCACATCTTCATCACAAACTCACTTGAATGCGGTGCCTGTAAAGCGGCAGTGCGGCAGCGTGCCAACGGAGAGCCTCCAAGTAACTCATACTTGTAGCGTTTTGATTTGCAAGATGAGTTTCATGAGTGATGGCCTGGACTCTTCCTAAGCGGTCCATACAAACCAAGTGCTTCAACACTTGGAGCCGCAAAATGATTCAAAAAATGTCCTTCAGAAAATCGACCTTATCCAAAATAGAGATGAAGAACATAAAATTGCCCATGATGCGGAATGTGCCTGGTGCTGGCCAAAAGAGACCACATTGAGATGTTTGGCAGAAGTCAGGATGATGGAGCTTGATTTGCCTGGATTTGAAAACCGAGCCCCAATGCAACCCCTGAAGTCAAGCCAATGCAAGACTGAAGCTAAAAGCGGAATTTGGGAAAACCGCGGACCTTGCCAGGACGGGTGGAACTTTTCAAAACTGATTTTCTGTTGGGTCCAAACGGCGGCAAACCCTGACCTGTAGTCTCAAAAGGCCGTTTCAAGGAAAGCAAGTTGTGCTTGGCATTTGATAGAGGCAGCAAGCCTGCTTTCACATCCGCCTGCATATGGCTTTCAGAACAATCCCTTTTTTCATGCCAGGAGGCTGTTTTGCGCAAGATTCTGTTTCCAAAGCTCCTGGTTGCTCCCATTAAAGTTCAGGTTTGTGGCGATCTCGCCGCGTGTCCACGTAGATGTCTGAAGTGCAGAAGCTCAGGTAAGTTGGGTTTCACTTCAAGTTGTTGCAGGTCATGAGCTCAAAGAAAGCTAATTTTTGTCTACTAGTGACATACTGTGCATGCACAGATGCATCGCCTTCGAATGCCGTGCAGCTCTGACTGGGTTTTACGCAGGTGGCGGCGTGTACGTGCCGGAGGATTGCTCAGTGAACCACAGCGGTTCACTGGTCTTCGAGGCCAGCGCAGGCAGTTGCTTCTATGTATGAGCTACTTGCAATGCGTTTGAGTGAAGTGGGAGGCTAGCAGCGCCCTCACCGAAGGCGGTGGCATTTACTTCCGACCGCCGACAGGACTTCTGCTGACTGTGGGGAGAGGTGATGCTGTAGATTCTTTGCGAGCTCAAGAAGCACTGCAAGGTTTCTGGCTTTTTCGCCCTACACCGTGAGGAGTCTTCAAGACCCTGGTGTTCACTCGCTGCGAAGCTCACACACTCGCAGCAGCCTTGGCTGCAGCAACGAGCGGTGTGGAGGTGGACATCAAGGACGATGAGTTTAACACTAGCCCTCAAATCCTCCAAGCATCTAGCTGCAACTTCTTCTTGTCAACATGGCGAGAAAGTGTCTTTAGCTTAAGCTTCCGATTTCTAGCGTAGCTTACTCAAGCAATGCTTTGCAAGACAACTGAGCAATCGTGTCTTGTGATGGGTGTTCTTGGCCGTAGGCGTCCCGGGCAGAGTACGAGCTTTCATCCCCTTTCCCGGAAGGATCTCGCCCTGCTGGACGTTGGGGCCAGCAACGTCAAAGACATGACCGTGGCAGGCGGGGAACTGGGTGGAGGTTTGGAACCGGCCCTCACATCATCTTGATGAAATGCTACGTACCTTCTCTGAGGGGTTGCCAAGTAAGAAGGCGGCTGAGCACAAAACGCAACGGAAGCTTGAATGGTCGTTCAGTGGGGGGTTTGTGCGATTCGCGTCCACATCATCATCCGGGCTCACGGGAGTCTCATGCCTGGGACGTGAAGTGCCATGGCACTGGGGCAGAGGTGCTGTAGGGAGGGGGTATCCCCCCCTCCTTACGGTAAGCAGGGGGGGCAGACGGTGCGTAACACAAGCAGGTGATGGTGTAGGGGCCAGGGGCAGGGTAATGCGAATGCTTTCTGGGGGGAGAAACGGAAGCAGCCGGATCCTGAAGTTTCGACAAGACGCCGCTGGCCGGAGGCTGGATTGAGGTTTGTACCCATCGGGATGAATTTGTGCCCAACATGCAGGCAACAACGTTGTAAATCGTCAATCCTTCTAAGGGAATAAGTTGGTTGGCTGGCAGTTGTTGCACCCCGTTACCATTAAGCCCTCAACGCGTGAACTCTGCCCTCTGCTGTTTGACTTGTTCTGGGATCGAGCCTTGGCCAGCTGTCAGAGACCATGTGAGTAGTATTTTATACTCCTTAAAGAGGGTTATAGGGGGGATTATATAGGGAACTACTATAGGGGTTATTAAGGGGGATACTAGGAGTTTGGACTATAGCTCATGTGAAGTCGCGCAAAATTGTGGGCCCCTTCTTCGGGTTTTTCTATGGTCAAGAGCGACTGGGCATATACAAGGCCACAACCTGTCAAGAGATCATTATCTTCAACCGGAAGTCCTTTGAAGCAGCGATATTATCATACGGTGGATATTGCAAATCCTGCATGGCATTGGGTACCATAAGCTCTGGGAAGCATGGTCATGCAGGATTTGAGTACCAACAGTACTTGTACAAATTCTGCCCACAGGCAGCCTGACCGTCGGAACTGCGCATCTCCGCACGCGCTTCAAATTTGGGACTTACATCTCGGCAGAGTCACTCATGCTCGACCCCCGGCAGCGATGGATCGCAAGCAACAAGCACGAACTGCAGGGGTTGATGACAAGACTGAGCGCATAGGCCTTTAGAACTGATGTGGCTTCTCCAGCGTCCGTTGATTCATGATGCAAGGCAGAGGAGATCGACTGCACAGGCGCGACGTCTTGCAACTTCTCTGCACTTTAGTCTTGTAGGTGCAGGTTGAATTCTATGGTCGCACAAAGCCTGAGCCTTGTTGCGAATGGCAACTCCGCAAAGATTCCAGGCGCTTTCTACGCGGACACAGTGCAAACGCCTGGATTGCGCTGCCCCGTCGGCACAGGGTTTGTGCCACATCATCGGCTGCACGAGTTCGGGTGCCTGGTACTGCTGGCCGACCTTATCAGCTTTGCATTTAGGGTTTTGGAGGCTGTTTTACAACTGTGCAAGCTGAGCCGCTCGCGCCTGCACAAAGTCCGTGGCAGCCTTCACCATGAAGCAGGTACCAACCACCACACAACTCACTGGTGTAATTTAGAGTTTAGAGAATTTTGGAGTGCGTTATTGGGACCATTACGGGCTTACATGGGGATCATTCTAGAGAACCCTTCACTTATTCCCTAGGTAGTCAATCAGGTAAGCTTGGATCTTTGGAAGCCACTGTAGCCCTGAAAGTCACAGCCTTGGGCTGGGTTGCCGTGAAGGAACTTGAGTTTCGTTACCATTGAAAGAGTATGCGTTACGTTAGTGTGTGTATATATATATATACACTTATTTTCCTATCTTGATAGTTTCACTCAAATTCCTTAACAGGAACCCAATAGAGTCACTTGCTTGCCAGGTCTGTGATCCAGGCAACACCCAGACCATCAACGGGACCAACAGGCCTTGCCAGTTCTGCAAGCAGGACTCCTTGGGAATGAGCGGTTTTAGGGTTGTGTGGAAAGGTGCTGAGAGTTTTGGGACTCACTTTCTTCAGAGTTCTTCTGATCGACTTTGAGTGACTTCCCTTGGTTGTTGTTGGTATCGAGTTCCGGCCCGTGCACTTAACAACATCTTACCACGCCTCATTCAACATATGTTGTTCAGTCCCATCATATTCACGCAGTACAGTAATTCCTCTGTATGTACAGGTTCCCTGAGTACCCTACATATTGAGAAACTTTGAAACACAACGGCCCAAACCCCAAACCCAACATGTAACCATGTCTCTATCATCCAGACAAGCGTTTAGACAGGCCCTACTTGGGAGACAACTCAGAAGGTCCGACCATAAACCCTATAAGGCCAAAGCTTTCAACCTCTGAACAAAGAGAAGTTGTGTACATCCAAAAGTAACTACAAGGGAAAGAAACAAAGGTGAAACGTCGGTCCAAATTGCGGTCATGAACCCTACTATAGGGGCCTAAATAAATGCCAAAATTATGATTATAGTATATGGTACCTGAAATGGACCTCAAAATGATATTGGTAATTATTTAGGCCCTTATATTATACAATGTCTTCAAGCACTAAGCCGATCCAGGTCATGCAGCCAGTGTCCCGACGGAGCTCGGGAGTGCTTTGCCGGTCACCTGGTGATGGAGTGCCTGGGCAGAACTCGAATTTACATGTGGGTATGAGCTGTAGCAAGGGGGGTTATATAGGGGATTATATAGGGGACGACTATAGTAGGGTGTTTGTGTCGTTGACCAAGATGGACTAAGGTGACTTGAGGTCCTAAACCCTAAAAGGAGTAGGTTTGGGTGGCTTGATGGGCTCAGACGGCGTGGGGTGGGTGATGGAGGAGATGGCTTTCCACAGTCAGGCCTTAGCCGCACTTCGCATTCAACCATACAGGCATGCACTTGAAGCGTCGTTCAACCCAATCATCACTCTTTGCACGCTGACTCACAGCAAGCCCTAGACCCTCAACCCTAAACCTCTGTTACCTATACAATTTAGGGTGTACATTTGGGTTTAGGGTTTAGGGTTTGGCTTGGTGGGCAAGGTCATAGTCATGGGTGGTACCCGGCTGGAGCCTGAAACGCTAGGGCTGGTAGGGCTCCAGGGTTCAGGGTGTAGAGTTTAGGCCAGTTTAGGCTTCTTGGGTTCAGGGTTTAATTAGAGGGGGTAAGCTGTTTCATTGATGTGGGATCCAATGAGCGGGTGGGTATTCTGCTATCAGATACAGCTGCTTAGCAAGTTAATGCTCGGACTTGAGATGTTGAACCTGAAGCACTAGGACCTAAACCTTCAATGCCAGGCCTCTGTGACGGTCTTGTATACGTGTAAAGTTTGGCAAGCCCCGAAACCATAGACCCTACAGCCCCGTAAGTAGAGGTTTTTGGTTTAGGGTTTAGGCCCCTTGGTGTATATACGTATATATATATATATAATACATGAATTTATGGGCGTCTTAACCCGATATGGCGGAACTCCATCTTCTATCTACTTAAAGGGGAATGTACCTGAGCCCTACCTCGCTAAATTCGCCTCTCAAGTTTTAGAGGCCCCAGCGTTCAAACCAAGCAACAGAACTCTCCCTGTCTCAACGCTATCAGAGGGCTTAGGGTTTAGGACTCAGACTTCAGGGTGCAGGGTCTAGATTCGAGCACAGCCCGTGAAAGGGGCGCAAGGTTTTCTCAAAGGCTTTCAGCCATCTTTGTCTTGTCATCACATGTTCCACGATCTAGTGGCAGTCGTGCGAGGCAGTTTCCGGTCCGCATGAGGGCATCTAATGTTGGCTCATTGAGCCATTTCAGTAAGCAACATCTCGAATGCAAAGCTCCACCGAACAGCCCGAGGCGGGGAATGATGGTTCAAAATGACTTTGTCAACCAGACATTGCACTGCCCCAACCAGGCTGCAAACAAGGGCTTAATTTTCTAGGGCTTGGGAGAGTAGCATTGGGGCGGATGAGAATTGGCGTGGAGATTTCAGGATGTTTGATAGTGTATAGGAGGGTCTGAACGGCGGTCAATGATGTGCGTTTAAAGGATGGAAGGCTGGAGCGACATTGGGCCTCCGTTATTCTACATCTCTCGGAGAAGCTTCGGCAGACCCTCAAACCGCAGCCCCAAACCTTGCATTTCTTCAGACCTCCCAAATACAATGCTAGTACTCATGGAGAAAATCTTGTGCCACACGAAGTCTTCTCATTCTCAGGACTGCTGCAAGGAACAGATCAGGATTTCCTCTGTCAGCCCAGCCCCCTTTCTCAGCCTGGTGGGAGGCTGCTTGCCCTGGGGGCCGGCTTCCCCAAAGTCCTGATGGAAAGGCCATGTGCGTGGACGGTGGCCCGAACCCAACCAGAAGGGGTGCTTTTCCTCTTTGTGTAGAAAGTATAGCTTGTCGTTCCTTGTGAGGGTCCCTAGTATGATGTGGTCCCTAGTACTTAGGTACCCGAAACAAGACGCGTTTCTCACGCAGAGGCTCGGGAGACTGAAATAGTTGTGTGTTGTGTTCGTGTGGTGTGCCTGGTAACTTGTGATTAGCGCTCGGCATCACGGTATGTAGAAGAAGCTTGTATTTGTCTACATCTGGTGTCTCCAAAGCAGTTATCAGCCCTGGTCGGCTATGGTGTCCTAACGTGAACCGAGAGCAGCTTAAGCTACAGCTTGCTGGCCCGAGGCTACGAAGGCCAAGGATGCACCAGCTGCAGCGTTGGATACGCAATCGCGGACAGCAGCGTGCTCACGTGAGACATGTCTGAATGGATATGATGTATGCTTTTAGTTTTTTTCAATGAAGCGGTGTTTTATTGTGGTCTCGACTTCAAAGCGGAATAAAGGTTTGGAGGGTGCAAGTTGCAATGCTTCCACGCAAAAATCCAATGAAAGGAGTTGACCGAGTTGACGCTGGCATGCCATTCCTAGCAAACCTCCCAGGCACTCCCTGCAGTGACCAGCCACGCACGCAGGCAGGAAGGTTTCTGGGCTTCGGGTTATGACTCGCCACAGCTTTGAGCCACAACGCTTTATCCCGGCTAGAATCCCGCAACGGGATGTCTGTTTTGTCGGAGTCGTGACTCGCCTGACAGCTCAAACTGAGCGATGTCAGCACGAAACAGTTCCCAGCCCTTTGCAGTGTAGGCCTCTCATAGCCACGTAATACCCGTTCAACATTTAAACTCGTCCCCAGCATCCCCGCCGTCCCTGGCGTACCCACGGGCACGTGCAATCCATAGCCAGTGCCTTTCGAAGTACCACCCGGAAACCTGTGGTGCTTGGACTTGACACAGACATGGGAAGCTGCAAGTAACACAGCTCAGGCAGCAAAGTAGCTTTCGAGCTGTCGGGGTGTCAGTTTTGCCCGTAATCCTGAAGGCTCAACCGCTTAGCCTAGAACCCTAATCCCTAAACATGCAGGCGGTGCAGTGGGCCCTATTGCTTGCCCAACGCAGCTTGGTTTTTGCAGTGGCATCGGCAAGCGCCAGTAAAGCCGCTCGGCATGAAACTCCCTGGTGGTTTTCTTAGTCAACTTACTGGGGAATGGGGCAGTTGAAAAGGAAATGGACGTTCACATTTAGGGTTTTTCAAGGTTTGTGCGGTTTAGGTTTTGGATCTGGGGAATGGAAGAGTACGTGGAAACTACTACATCCTTGGGATTACATGGGGGGCCGCAGCAGGGAGAAGATTCTGGGGATTCCCATTGGAAACATGAAGGAGCAGTTGCTGTTGACCATTGGGATCCATTCCGTCATTCTGTACTGAGCGCTAGACAGGAAAATTGCCCTTGGACTGGCGTGAGCCCTGCACCATCCTGCCATCGAGAGACAGCTAAGGCCGGGAGCGTCAAACAGAGCTCGATTTATTTAAATCAGCTCATGGCGTTTGCCACTGTGGCCTCGGCGACCCTCACCTGCATGCTTGTTCGGGCTTCTCTACTTGGAGGGTCAGGGCCAGGGGGATTATAGTCTGAGGGTTCATACTAATGGTTTGCTTGCTAAGACTCCCCGACATCTCTCGAGGCTCATGGCCAAGCTGAAGTTTCGTTTGAGCGCCTACCGAGGGTGATGAACGCCGTGCTGCAGACGGGCACCGCGCAGGGAATGAAGACCCAGGCTGCTGCCAGCATGCACGTTCAGAGTAAGCGCGCAGAATCAGGCAGTCAATGGCCGGGACTTGTGCTGGGTTGTTGTGAAGGAGCATCAAGGAACGCATAGTCTGCATATATACATATATATATATATTTGTATTTAGTAGCTACTAGGTTTTTCCCTTATAACAGTAGCTGAACATACGTTGGGTATGTAACAGGAGCACTGAGCATGCCCAAGCCAAGGCCAGTCTCTTCTTCGATGCAACTCTCAGCGTGGCGGAGACCAGCTCTGGACAAGGACTTTCCCGGCACGGCGCGTGGTGCTCGTGAGTGCGTTTGGGGTGTAGGGTTTGGGGTGTGGGGTTTGAGGGGATTAAGGGTCCAGGGTCTAGGATGGGGCTTTGTCTGGCTGCTTCGACCTATCTCGAAATGCCCACGGTCTGGCTTCCTTTTTGAGATCCCATTGCAATTCGGACCTGAACAGCTCGGTGGGGTAGTTCAAATTTCTTAACAGCAGCCCAACATCCCCAGGCCTGTGCTTTTCATGGCAAATTGCGGCGCTTGAGGAGAATCTGCGGAGTGAATACAGGTATTGGCCCAACGCAGTGTCAATTCGGAGTGCTGTCATGATACTTCTTGAGATTACATATTCGTGTTCAGGTTCCGCATTAGCATGAATGTGCTTGCAGCTGCACGGTCTCCAGCCGCAAGATTGTATTGCAGACAAAATCGATGAAGTTTTTGCTGCATGTTTTGCAATGTTCTAAGAGTCCTGGCGTAGCATCGCAATCGTGTTATTGGAAATTGCAGTGACAGCATCATGTTCATGACTACGGGATGTTGGTAATCGTTCGTACAAGCCCCTGTATACTTCCGGTGTCCATGTCATTTCCCGATGTCCTCTCCGTATGGTTCTCAATTATGGGTCGTCTTCCAGGCTTCTACATCATGAATTCAGAACTTCATTTTGAACCCTCCACCCTAAATCCCAAACCCTGCACCCTAGACTCGAGACACCAACACGGAAACCCCAAACCCTTCAAACCTGTATGACCACAACAATACCGCAGCAGGATCCTTCGGATCAACTCAGTGTCTGCTGAGCTACGTGCACAGCGAGTCCTTGTGGCTTTGCACATCAGACGGCTTGAAAACGGTCAGGGGTGAGGGTTTAGGGCTGAGGGTTTAAAGGTTAAGGATTTACGATCTACAAGCCTCAACGAGAGAGGGGTCTACGGTCTTGGTGTAGGGTGAGAACGCACGAAATCATGCACTGTCTTGCACCATGTAATTAGGATGCATAAAGTATTGTGATTCCCATCATTGGTGCTATGTAGGGAAGACACAGAGCTGCATCGCCAACTTTCAAAGAGGCACGGGTCCTTGCGGGGAGTCTAGGGAGACCTTTTCATCAGGGTTTCAGTGCGATGGAAATCCGTGAATTCCTAACACGCTCTTCCGGCAAGAAGATGCTGGATGTGGCACACGTTAAAAGCTCTGAAGGAGGTTGCTTTGTGAAATCGGCCCGGGCATCAAACAGTTCTTCATCGAGGCCCTTTCTCCATCTGGCAGCCCTTCGACAGAAGAACCCAGTGCTCAACTGTCAGGTCAGGAAAATCCAAGCCAGGTGACACCCCATATTCTCCACTAATTATTGTTGTTCTAGAAAATACTAACGCTTTGTCCATGATCGTCATACACCCACCAAAGCCCTGCAATCCATCTATGTATGTACATGCATATATGTAGATATCCTGTCATATCCCTAGTTAACACTCGTGTCTGAATGTGCCTACCTAGCTCAGGAGGAACGCCCACCTCCTGGACATCGCAACTTGGCTGCACAACGATTCGTTTCCACCAACTTGCTTGGTGGTAGTAGGGAAACCGGAGGAATGGAAAAGAAGATGCGAGCCACGCTACATTCGGGGGGGTTATCTAGCAGCTACTATTCATATCGATTCCTTGCTTCCCTAGCAACAACGCTTTAGAGTGCCTGGACTTGGATTCAAAAAGCATCCAGACCAGAACCCGCCAAAAAGTGGCCGGGATTTCAGGTTGGTAGCCCAACCCTGCGTTTGAAGCTTGAGTTGACATGATTGTTCAAAGCACCTAGCCTTCGCCACTTGCCAAGCCACGTAACTCCGAATGGGGGAGGCCATCGCTGTGGCACTGATGCTGATCGTGCACAGCCGCGCCGGCGTGGTGGCAGGCCCCCAAGACAAACAAGACAACGCATTTGGTTTGGGGTCGAGCGATGTTACCCCGATAATGGAGAATCTTATGAAAGAGAAATGCATAATGAAATGGAAGCTACTATGACAGCTTCGGGTTTAAGCATTGTATCGAGGAAGTCCGTCAGAAGCAGGGGTGCTGAGTATCTCATGCTATTAAACTTGTGCTTTGACCGAGTTCAAGCGTTGAAAGCTTGGGGTGCGATGTTTCTACGGCTTGAGATATGTTGCGGTGGGTTGTTTGCCGGCCGTAGACACACTTGCCCATGATGTGTTGCGTGCTGGGCCCTTTGTCATCTCCCTGTGCCTGATTGATGCGTTAGAATGAAAAGCACTTGACCCACTTTCACAGCGACGTGTAGTCTTAACCTGTTAGGTTCAAGGACTGAGTAATTGACCGGGTAGTGTCTGCTCTTCAGCTGTGCTTTCGCAGGGGACAATACCCAAAACACGTTTATCTCCAAGACGGCGCTGCCTCCCCCAACCCACGAAACGGGTATGTAAATCTCAGACGGACCCCCATAATGCTCATGTGATACCTGTACATATTTATAAATCTATATGTATATATCCCTTCAAATCCCTAGCGGCCTCCCCTTTGAGAAACGCCCAAAATGCATCCAGCACCCGACAGGGCTGAACTGCTTCCTGCCGATCATCGCCGCCGGCTTTGGGAAGTACCTTGTATGCCTGGGCCTCATTTCAGGGTTTAGACTTGAGGTTTTTCTGGAATCCAGTTTTACCTTAGTCTGAAAATCTTGCGGTTGATTGCTGGAAGTTTGAACTATCAGTTGGGCTGGGACAGCCTTGTGGCCAGAATATTCCACTTAATGTCCATAGCGCCCTGATCCTTGATAGGCACACACTCAGACTCTCACCAAGTAATTACACAACCCATCCACCGGACAAGGAGCTGCATGAATGGTCATAATCTACTTACCTAGCCAAAAATCCCCTCGTAGATGACACATGGGCTTAAGATCCCGAAGCATTTTACACTTGCATGATGTTGCACCCGTCCACACTGGGTTCCGTGACCTCGCCGGATCTCATCCCAAATTGCGGCTCATGTGGAAAGCAGTCCCCAAAAGAAAGGGATTCATTTTCAGGTTTCCCATACAGTGGGGGCCCCAATATAGACCTCGAGGTATTCTCATTCTTTCCCTTCAGGTACCGCAACAAGCTCCCAGACAATCAGCTGATGTTTCTTTTGAGATGTGTGTTTGCAGCCCTGGAGTCGGTACAACGTAGCAACCCTTAAGTCGAAACCCCAAAATCCTTAAAGCCATTGAGCCCTGCGCGAAGTACAGCAGCTTAACTTGGCAGAGTCCTCTCCTTCAGCTGTCCCAAAGGCGAGCGCAGCCACTATTCAAGGCTGCCTCTACCCATGGGACACGTGGAGTTTAAGGGCTGCACACATCACATCTAAAAGCCTGCACCCTGTAAACCAACACCCCTGTGCTGGCAACTTCCTTGATGAATTTACATGACAGCGTCGATTTCGCACACTTTCCCGATGCTGACGTCCTCGTGGCAAAATTCCGTGGCCCCATCCACAGCGTCCTTCCCACAGAGTGATTACGGACCCCTCCTCTACCATGACGAGATCCACGTGGAGCTTTATCGCCATCCTCCTAGCAGAGCTCAACGCTCAACTCTGCTTCGAGCACGTCCCCGTGGACGACATCCATGTTGCAGTGGCCGATCTCGTCCAACCCAGTGAGACTTCTGCAATTCTTTCCATTTCCTGGGACCGCGCTGGAACAAAGCTTCGTCGGAGCTACGCCAGTCCTTCCATGCCACCTTTATCACCTGCTGGTGCGTCATGGGCGTGCTGGCGCAGGTTGACAACACGGACCAGCACGTCCACCTCTGCCTCTACAAGCGTGATAGGGTTTGCAGCTTTGGGTAGCGTTGCAGGACTTGCCCTTGCCTACAGGCGGGCAGCAGAAGCAGACCGGCCGCCAAAGGGTCTTCACAAAACCCTGCAAGCCTTATCAACGCCATAAGCCCTCCAAATCTAAAAAAAGTAAGCCCAATCAAGCACCCAACCCCTATCACACGTATGAACCCTACAAGCCCCATACAGCCTAGACCGGCCAACTTCTCAGGTTTCCGACTCGAGCCGGATCGTGGTGCCGGACTCGACGGGCTACATTGCCTCTCGGATGTAGATTTGAAGTTCAGGGCTTCAGGATAAGTAACGTTTGAGTTTCAGGGTCCAGGGTTAAAGGCTCAGGAGTTTGGCTTAGGCTTTAGGGTTCGAGGTAGTTAAAGGCCACTCTAGCTGTAGGTATAGCCTGGTCTTTATCATTGCAAGGTTTGTTGCATGGTGGGCAGCCGCTGCCAATGACTCATGGGCAGGCGGATGGTGGGTAAGCCTGAAATGCAAATGTTCATTTGCAGTTGCTCGTGGTTGTTCATTGGAAGCCAATCACGGATCCCAAGCGAACGCTTGAGTTTGTTGACAGTGACTATTCATCTTAAAAAGGTGGTTCAGTGGTTGTTGCAAACATGAGTCTCGGGAAGAAGGATGCCTGGATCCTGCCGCCACCAGCATGAAACTTCCGAGATTTTTTTATTGGGGTCCCTCGACCCTAACAGCTGAAAGTTTAGGTTGAGGGTGGCCCATAGCCAATTATGCCCAGACCCCAGAACCTAAAGCCTAATCCCAATCTCCTGAGCCATCCAAGGTCCTTTCCTACCTGATGAATCGACGCTGGTTGGATCCGTGAAGGCGGGGACGCTGTGAGAATGGTTGGGCGGAGCAGGGCAGGTTTGATATGAAAAGCTGATAGTACTATAAAGGTGTGTAGGTACGGTATGTCAGGATCAAAAGCCATACTCACCCTGTGGGTTCTGAACCCGAAGCCCTATTCTTGTCATGTAGGCCCTTACATTATCATGCTTGAGAGGGCTTTTCACCTCCCGTACCCTGCTCGAAACAAGCACAACGCTATGCACCCTTTCACACGACTGCAGCCTTTGTGGGATCACTTCTGGGCTTAGATGTCATCCTGGGGCAGGGTCAACGGTTTGGCGGAATGAGGCCCGAAATGATGGTGGCGGGTTTGGGATGTTCCATCTCCTGTTGTGGGGCTCCAGGGCGGCTTGCAGAACAAAAAGCCAAGAGGAAACAAAGCGCCTGAGAAAGAAGCACATGTTAGAAGAAAGGGATGGATGCGATTATGGAAACAATTATCCCAGCCAACCGGATGGCATTTCCTCTAATCATTCAGGGACGAGAGAGCGAATACCACACGGTTATGTGGATAGGTGTAAAACTCTAGACAGAATGATCCCGAAGATATCTTCAGGACAGAACCGGAATCAGAATTTTCTTTGAGATTTAGAGGAAAAGTAAGACAGTAAGACCAGTACATGTTGAGCTGGCTTGGCCCACGATTTTGTATCAAGTAGCCTAACACAGGCTCAGTCGTGCAAGGATCCCTTCCAGTCCCTATACCCTATGCACTTTCCAGCTCATACCTCCTCAAAGAACGGCGGGTCTTAGTCTCAGTCGGATGCGGAATTTGGGTTTTCTCCATGATGCCGAAGCCTGCAAAGCAACGCCCACAGATCCTTGATGAACCCAACACCCTCATCTTTGACACTTGTGAGGCCGGCTAGGCTGACTCTGATTTTTGTAGCGGCCACAAGCTCCCAACCCTGATCGCTTCCAATTACCTGAGCCCCAAGATCTTCGAATCCTGAACCCTCAAAACTATTACTACTACTATAATTATTACCAGTACTATTACTATTATAATCTGGAGTAACTTAATCTAAGTTCCTGAACAGCAACCTAAAACTAGGTCTTAGGCGGCCTGGTCCTGTGCTTGGCAGCAGCACTTTGCACGTGGCCTCCTGCACAGCACTGAACTACAAGGTTCCCGAAAATAAGGGCTCAGGGTTAAGGGTTTAGGGTTAAGGGTTTCTACAAGGTTCCTGAACACATTTTTTGATTTCTGTTACCTAGAATCCTCATATTTAGCTGAAATTAGAATTTCTACTGGGGTTCCAAGTCCCTTAGAGTGAAGTTCTGACCGCTTTGCGTGCTACGGGTTCAACTGACGAGGCGTAATGGGGGGCTACATTATGCACCCTGATGTCATGTAATGTGTTATTATCCTTTTTACAGGGGCTCTGCAGAAACTAGCTCAATGCTGCCTGCGTACAGTCTCACATCAAGCCGAGGCTTGCAAAGCTGTCAGCTTTGGGTTTCAGCGGGACTTATTCTTGACATTTTGTTCTTGAAGCCTGGGATGTTTTTTTTCAAGTTTAGGGTTAACAAAAACCTTTGATATTTACACTTACTCATACCTTTCTTTGGTCAGAATCCGGTGGAACCCCTTGTGCACCTCGTCTTATTGTTCTCTGAACGCGTGTATTTCACTTATGTCGTGCATTTCTTGAAACTTCCGAAAGCTAAGTGTGCAACATCAGTAAACTTGGGGAGCATCCAACAGCAGGAGATTTTTTAGCATCCCTGGAAGCAACAATCGCGTCTGGGGTTGAAGATACCTTCTATACAGGCCACTACATGCAGGGGAGCCCTGCCCGGGAAAAAAAATGCAGAGCCCAACTCGAGACGGAGTTATTTCCAGAAAAGTTTCCTTCTTACGTACCCAAGTATGCTGCAGGATTCTGTCTTTAGCATAGGGGCCCCAAAGTGAAAACCCCAACGCGCATGTTTCATCATATCTCATCCCAGGCTACACCTCTCGAGATCCACAGAGGTGCGCTGGGTGGTGCAGGGTGTGATGTTCCGTGTCCTTACAGATTCGTTGAGATTTTGGGGCGTACGCTCATGGAAAGGTGCTGTGTGGGTTTGGTTCTTTTGCAGGGTTCAGGCGCACAGGGCGTCAACAGTCTTGATGAAGCTCCTTGTAGCGTGTTGATTGCGCACAGACCCACACCGTGAGCCCAGGGCACTACATTCTGAACCCCAATCCGGGAACCCTGAACCACCTAGCAGCTTGCGCAGATGGCAACTGGCCAAACCTGGACTTACGCCTATGTTGTTTGCTTACGATGGCAGGGTTGTGTTCCTCCTGTCCTTGTCATTGTTCTTAGTTTTTTCCTTCTGGTACCATGGCTGGTGGTGCCCTCTTCAATATCTTCGTTTCTACGTCTTATTCTTCGATTGCAGCTGCTACGGCACTTGCTTTTAGTGCAGTTGCAGGGGCCCTTGGACTACAGGTGGTAGTTCCAAGTATGCAAGTTTGGTCATGTATCTGTTGGAGGCTGCATGCAAGATGACGTAGTAGACCCCTTCTCATGAGTTTGGCATCAGTACCCGGACTCGCATACTTGATGCTGGCTATCCCTACTGCTGCATGTTTTGCTTTTGCTTCCGTTGTTCTCTTCATGACGACTGCCGCTGCCGCTGCTGCTGATGTTGCTCGGGGGAGGAGGAGCAGTTCGGGGTGTTGGAAGTGAGGGATGAGGAAGAGGACGAAGAGGAGGAGGTGGAGGTGGAGGTAGTCTTGGTGGTGGCAGCGGTGGTGGCGGTAGCGGTGGTGGCAGTAGTAGGTGAGCGGTAGTGGTCTTGGGGGTGGTAGTGGTGGTGGACTGGTGGTGGTAGTAGTAAGGTGAACTTGACAGAAGTAGCCGGATGAGTAGCTGGGAGTCTAAACGCAATCCACCTTTGACCGCACAGCTTTGCAGACGCCACCTCCGCCCCACTTCGTGGTCCTGACGAGCAAGTATCAACCGCAGTACGCGCTCTTCGAGACGGAACGCCTCCTCAGGAGCACGAGAAGCCCTACTTCTGAGATTATCAAAGAGCTTGCTAAGGGGTCAGGGCAGCATTTGCAGACGGTCCAAGGATCCGCAAAGCGATTCTTGCCCAATGCTTCAGGAGTTCGAGCAGAACAGCTCAATCCGGCAGGGTGAATGCCAAGCCCAAACTCCAAGCACCCAAGTGGTGCTTTTAATCGACAAGAATGTGTGTTATGGTCCTTAGAAGACTCTAGGGTCTCCAGAGTATGTTGCAAAGCCTGATTCAAGCCATCTTGGCCGCTGCATCCCCCTATACCCCAATACCACCAGGTCAGTACAAAACACTCCAGGGCCACGCTACATGCACGTTCAGCCAAATCCTCCAAGCCATAATCCCTCAACCTTAAATCGCAACTCGTTCCACTCCTAAAATTGATTTCGTTTGCAAATCCCACACCCAAAGCGTTGAGCCCTTAGACCCTTCGAGACATTCTTTCCATAAAATGCCCAGCACAGTAGAATCCACGTGATTTGGACCTCTGCCCGCAGGAAGACACTCATCGCACTGATCGGGGCGGTGCTGCCCATAGCAGCTTCACCTGCTCTCCAGATGGGATGTTTAGGCAAGAGGGGCAGGGCTTCAGGGTTCAGGGTTCAGGGTGTTGCAGCTTTTGTTTTGGTTCAGGGCGTGGCGATGGGAAGTCAAGGTTTGTAGATGCCGTGAAGGTTGTTCAGGTTTTATAGTACGCGCAGGTCCTGGCCCCAAGGGGTCTATGGGGAGTGTGCAATGCTCAGTAAACTCATGTTCAGATCCAAGCTTATGTGCCCTTTCATTCACCGTGGTACAGTTCCGAAAGCTAAGGACATCCAAACTTACAGGGCCATTCCCGGATGCAACCTAATTTGGGAGGAACGGTGAATGTGTGTTGAGTGTTGACCAGTTGCGCAGCAACTTAGGCAATCGTTGGGTTGTGGTGCTGACAAAATCTTAATTAAACACTTACTTCCCAGTCCTTGAGCTGTCCACTCGTCCCGTACCGACGCATCCATTGCATGCAATGTAGAAAGACGATGTGAAAGGCAAGGGGCAAAATCGGGCACTTAGGCATCCTGAGGTCAGTGCAGTATTCCGGCAAACCAACCATGTAAGGGATTTGGGGCCGCTTTGATGAATAGTAGGCTCAACCTATTCGGATTTGGCATTTGTTGGAGTGGTAACAGGGATCATTTTTTGCTAGTAGTATTTCATCTCTGCAGGTTGCGTTTCTCTAGATCTATAAAGTTTAGTTTAGTCCATGAAAATGAGTTTGAGTCCTGCGATCAGGGCAAGAAATGGATTGATAGATTATGCCCATCACTCGATGCTTACTTTTTGAACAAATGCCACCGGGTGCCAATGGAACTCCATGTCTTGAGCTACTTGTGATGGGGTTGTTATCATAGAACGGGCGGATCGTCGCACCCGACGCAACTAGAATACTGGAGAGATGGCAGAAGTGTAGGGTTTCCAAAGGGTTGCCGGGTCAGGGTATTTCCTTTCCTGCACTATCACGTGCATAGAATGGATGCGGACATCATCTCAAGGAAGCGGGGGGAGGAAGCCTTCTTTGCCCAGGCCTCCTTATACTCTCATCAGACTTTGTCTCAAGCTTTTTCCAAACCTCCGCGGACGACGACGACGGGCTTGAAAGCGAATGTCGCTTGGGTTCGGCCAAGAGACTTACCTGGCGAGCGCGTGCGATTTAACCTTACGCTTCCGAATCGCGAGCCTGGAATGCAAGCAGTGAATCTTTATCAGAGTTCTTATGATCTCGAAAAGTGCCTCAGGAGTTGTGGTCGTCAGTTCCCTGATCCTCTACGTCTTCTGCCAGCCGTACCACACCCAGAGTTGGAACAGGAGCAACGGGATTGTTGTAGTTTGGGTTGACATTTTTTACATAGCTTTGGCTTATAATTGATGCAGTTCAAGGGTGGGATTACTCAGGAATTATGGGAGCATTACACGGGCCTTTGGCAGGGTTTGGTGCTTCATCCTAAGATGAGTTTGCATACCTAGCTTGTCGTGGAGTTGGTAAATCCCAACCTCGAGGATCTTGCTGAGGGTTGGGCGCTTTCCGCTTTGGACGGCCTTGGGGCTTCCATCGGAGGGGTTGCGCTTGGTGGATGAAAGTCTGGGAAGTCTTGCGCAGCTTCCTGCCTTGACCCAGCAGGACCATGATCCCAACAATATATTCCATAAGCCTAAGCCCTCCACCCACGAAATACCTACTCCTGGGGCTGACAGTCTCTGGGTTGGAGCTCTCATTCCAAGTCAAGGGTTTGGAGCTTGGGTTAACTGATGCTCTTCCCTTTGTCCAAGAATGAAGTCTCCTGCGGTACATGCCACCATAGCTTCTTCTACTGCTGCTACTACTGCCGCCTATGGCCACAACGATGATTCGTGACGAAGTAGTACTGGTCAGCTCCCACAGGTCATGTGACGTTCATTGCTGGGGAAGTTTTCGTATCGACTAGTGCTGGTAGTGGTAGTCGTCGTTGTAAGTACAAGTGCTGCTACTACTTCTCCTGCTGCTGCTGCTGCTGTTGCTGCTGCGGGTCCTGCTATTACTGCTCGGGAATGTTTGGTGGTTCGTGCTGATTTTGATTTTTCTGGTTGGCGGCGTGTACCGTTTGATGTTTTTTGTGCGTCGCCTTCGTGCGTATTTGTTTGAAGGTTCTCTTCTTTCCAATTTGCCCTCGGTGCTGTCCCTGTTATCCAAGGGTGTGAGGAGTTCTGATTGAAATTGTGAATCCTCCCATCGCCCCATTCCTCCAGGGCACTCCCCACTAGTCCAATGGCGCGAGGAGTTCTGATCTTTATTCTGAGTCGGCCCATTTGTCCTGGGCCTTCCCCGTTCGTCCAAAATGACCTGCCACCATCACCACCGTCGCGCCAGCACCAGAGCCATCGCCACCGCCGAAGCTACCACCAACTCCTAAACCATAGGGTTTAAAGTTCAAGGCTTTGGCATAGGACTGACGGAACATCCGGCATCTCAGTCTAAACTGCAAGCCCAAATGGGTCCCGGCATGTAAAGAGGTGCTTTGGGTTTAGGGTTTAGGGGTTACCCCTCCAATAACACAAGGACCCTATCACTCTCATGAAACGCACTTACGGTCTGTTGCTACATGAAATCCTGCTGTTACGACAATGATATCTCTGATGGCTTCCTTCATCATCTCCGTAGTGAAAATCGTTGTCGTTTTGAAGCTTTGCATTGCTTCTGGCTGCTCAGCTTGCAGGAGTGAGATCAGCCTCCTCTGCGTCGCAAACTACATGATTCTGATTGTGTCGGCTTTGCCGCTTGACATTTTTCAGGTCTAGTCAACTCCCTGGCCGTGAGGCCCGAGCACGCAGTTTAGCAGCCTTTCAACTCTCCTCCTATTCCATAAACCTCCCAAACCTGAAGCTTTGAATATCTCAATTATACAGCCCAACCTGCAATCCTGCCAACGCCTCTACTCTTAAACAGAATGCCTTTCTGCTGCCCGGGGTTGCTGTGGCCTCCAACGAAATGTGAGCAACCCGGGGCTCAGGCAAGCAGAGTGAATTAGATTGAGGAAGCCAAAGGGCCAGGAGAACTAGGTAGCGGTATGCTCATACACCTGTTGTATTTACATATAACTAAATGATATGTTTGTGTGTATCTTCATCATGCCCCTTCATTAGCCAAGAAATCCCTAAAGCCTTAAGGAAGCCTGACATATATTTGCATCTCCCCCAGACCAAGGCTGGCGAACGAGTTCCACTGGGCTCACAGCCACTGTGCACTTGTTGAGTTACCCTGAACCCTAAACCCGAAACTCCAAAGTCAAGGCTTTAAGGTCTAAGGACTTGAAAGAGGCAATGCGGAGCGGCAGTCTGCATGCAATTTTCCACAGAGCTCTAAAGTACAACAACAAGAGCAATGCGCAAGATCCCCAACTCTACATCTTTTCAATATAGTAGTTCCAAAGCCTTAACCTTAAATTGCAAACCCTGAATTACCTCAACCCCTGAAAGATGTCCAGATTCGAGTCTCCATGCAAGCGTTCCCTAGATAGCAAGATTCACAAGGCTCGAGCCCTGAAAAGTCATTTTCAGTACTTACTTATGGTTAGCTATGAATGAAGGAATGGATCCTTATAGTAGGTCCTATACATTGTAGTAGTTTCCGTTTTCTGTTCAATTCCTTCATTCACAGCTAACCAAAGGCAAGACTATCTCAGCAGTGGCTCAGGTGAACGGACACAGCAGGCCATAGTCGTGACTGCTGTCCTGTGCGCTGCTGTAACAAGTTGCTTGTCAGCGCTGGCATAGAGACCACTGATGAATATTAGGAGGCGCGCTTGTGCAGAAAGTAAGTCTGAAGCCCTGAAGCTAAAGCCTTTTCAAGATTCAATCCTCAAACTCAAAACCTGAACCATTTAGAAAACAGCTGCGGGGAGTTTGCTTCGAGATCTGATGTTCACTTTCAGCGCATCATGGGGACCAGTTTTACTGTGGAAGGTTTTGCTCAATTACTAGTAGGTGCCTTGCCTGGCGCTTGACAGGTACCCCACCTTTCATACGTCAGAGCCTTGAGGGCTTGGTGCTTTAGGGTTTCAGAGAGTTTGTGGATGGGGGAGTGGGGTCTCGGCCTTTTGCTCTTGTGAAATCTTGAATACGGTTGAATCTGCCGAGCAACTGCTCGCACTTCTTTGGCTTTTCAAGCTCAGTAGATCAGCTTCATTACCGCCCCAGCAACGGCCTACAAGCCCTTGCCCTCTTAGCCCCAAACCCTAAACGCAAGACCTCCCAACCTGTTCGAGCTGCAGGAGGTGAAATAAGCAACGCAGAGCCTTTGAGCGCGAGAAGAGGAAGCTTAGTATTGGGCAAGTCAAAAAGACCTTATCCAACCTCAACCCATAATTTCGGAAACGGCTTACTTGGAGGTTGTGAAATTCTTACACGACGGCCGGTCTATGGCTTCCTGCAGTCTGAAGCTGACTACTGCTGAGGGAATCAAGCATTTTGAGCTTCGCTTGCCAAAGGCCCTGAGATGTGTCTTTCTGTTTTCAAGGACCTCTTATGGAAGCTTTTTGGGCGGTTTCTTCGGATTCTGCCGAGGCATTAGTCTCATGGCGCTATCCTCTTTCTTGGGACCTGAGATGCTACTTCTGATCCATCTGCCAAGGCACAGTGATGGGTTGGTTCGTGGTTACAGAACTCCTCAAGGAGAGGAAGGCGGGAGCCTTCCTTGAGTGGTCGCAGAAGTCAGGATTCCGTTTTTGCTGTCAAAGGGCTTGGGGTGAGGTAGGGTTCAGGTGTCGGGTTACGGTTAGGGTTGCAGGTTCAGGTTTAGGGTTGCTACAAAAATCAAAGTTGCAGTCAGTTTTTGGGTTCAGGGTGTAGGGCTCCGCATGCCATAGGAAGAGACGCAGTGTATGGCAGTCTCAAATGGGGGCTACAATTTTGAAAATGAACTTTTCCAGTTGGACATCTAGGCTAAGGGTACAGTCTACATTGGAGCGGCTCTCACAGACAGATGTTGTGGTTCAGATCTTGAGACTTGATGACCTTGGGCTTTGACGGCTGGGTATTCGGGCTTGCGTCGGGCTTGTGTGCGGGTTCTGGGTACACAGCACGTAAACCTCAGGGATATTAAGGGTCCAATTTGAGTTAAACCACGTGTGAAAACTTCTGGGGGTTCCTGTACGCGCTGTGCTGTGTTGGTTTGTGCGTGAGTACTCCTTTCTAAGCTGATCTCAGGAAGCCGAGGACCCCCTTGATGCAAGTCATAGATTTTGAGTCCCTGAGGCCCCAGGGTGGAGTTTATGGGCAAAATCATGTGTACCATAGTCTAAACTCCTTGAAGGGGGTTATATAGGGGATTATGTAATAGGGTTTAGGGATTAGGATGCGGGTGATATGTAGCTACTGGCACGGTGCATTCAGTACGTTGGATAAAGCACATCGAATTCCACGTTGTTGCGATGTGGGATAGGTTTATCGAATAGGGCTACGAGACTACAACAGTCACAAAATGAGCTTGATAGGCATGATTGACCGCAATCGCAATGCTCGAGGGGGTGAACTTATCACACCTACCCATGGGCATTCAGGATTTGCTGCGGGGCTTTTCGAGCACATGGATACAAAAGGCAAGGGGGCAAGCTGAAGGAAGGCAGCAAACATCAAAGCACAAGCAGAGCGGCGGCGGAGTTTGTGATGCCATGCTTTGGAGGCATGGGGCTGATAAGAAACAGATTCTAGATTCTACATGCAGTCGCGAGGCAGCCCAGACCTCCCGATGTCTGGGAGTTCTGGAATCTTGCAGACTGAAAAGGCGCTACAAGGCGTCAGAAACACAGGAGACTGCTGCCAGCCAGGAGGAAGTGAGGTGCACGGATAGCCACTCCTCGGATTTGACCAGCATGACAGATTGCCAGTTAACCGGAAGAGCACTTGAGATGTTAAAAGAATACATCACATGTTGAGAGCTTCAAGATTGCTCCGATTGTGCTGTCTTAAGGGAAGGGACTTCAGGTATGTCCCCTAAACCCTCAGCCCTAAACCCTAAACCCTCATATGAGTCATATTGGATGAGGAGACAGACCAAAGGAACCATCACATTAGGCTCCGTAACCTTGGCGCGCATCCCCACAACTCCCACGTGCCTTTCAACTTGACCCCAGGTTATAATTCCAAATCCCCCACCCCTTGACCTACCCAAAGTTTTCTTTGAGCGCCCAGGCCGCGCCTGCGTGATATCTCTGTCGTCCCGCAACAATGGAAAACAACGGAAGGTGGAAAGCATCTCACCGTTATGCTGTTGGGGGTTCAAAGGGGTTCTGGGTGTTGATGGTTGGGGAGTGAAGCAGCCATTTACGCTGTGGGCCCAGTTTGGGATTTGAGGAAGGGCGATAGCTGTCTACGGTGTGAGCTGAGCTGTAATGTGTCTTCCAGTACATTGTTCTCATCTGCTTCGACGCCAGTTTGTACGTGCTATCTTCGCAAGGACAGTTCAGTTTTTAAGGATCATAGGTCCATCCAACAGAAGACGACCTGGAATGTGCACTTGCTGGCGACTCATTTCCAAACTTCAACGAGGCCCTAGCTGGCAAATCTGCAGAGATGCTCAGCCCGAAGCTCACAAACCTAAACCCGAGACCCTGAGGCCCTGAGACACCCAGCCCAAGGGTATTCGCTAAATTAGCAGGGCTCGCTGTCAGGTGACTTTTGGCCAGCAATGGGATGGATTTTTGCCCTCATGTCTGGAAACGACTCATATACGTTGGTCGCGAGGGTAAACAAAGATAAAAAGGAATGAGCCCATGTCGAGCCGTGCTTAGGATGAAAAAATGAGGTTACTTGTAAGCTGAAACCTGAAGCCTCTAAACAGCAAGCCTTGCATCCGAAACCCAGGAGGTTTGGAAGTACTCTGGTACTGGCTACCCACAATTTCTCTCAAGCAGGAAGTTGAAAGAGTTGACTCGCATTCACGGAAGCCAGGCACTGCATCCCCTTTTACCCCAGTGGTGCTGAGGGTGTCGGGTGGGCAGTCTCTCCCTATAATCATCCGTCCTTCTTATCATCTTTAAAATCTGACCCATCCGCACTACAGCTAGTTCACCCGTTCAGGCGTTGGGGACTTTAGCCTAAAGCACGGTTTCCTCCACCTTGGTCCTTGAACCCTCAACATATTTTTAGTCCTCAGCTGAGCCAGAAACCCCCAACCCTAAACCTCAAGCCAGAAACCTGGAATGCTCCGCCGCAGCCGTGCTCTGTCTCACAGCCAGAGCCCGAGGCTCCGCGTTGTTTGAACGCTTCTTGCGTGTTGGCCATGCGTGGGGGTACAAATCAGGGTGCGTGTAGCAGGCCCGGAGCTTGGCTCCTGCCCTCTCCCGCAGACAGTGCCCCACAGCATTGCTTGCAGTTCTACTCGATGGTATTCAGGCCCAGACTAGACATTCGTATCAGGTGCAGGCCCCAAACCCTACCCGCAAACCGATTGAAAGCTCGACCAGCCTCTTTCCAGTTGTCGTTTTCATGCCGACCTATCGGTGCATAATTGAACTGCTTCTCAAGCCTCCGCGTCAATGGGACTATGGATGCTGGCAAGCTCGGCCGCGGTGCTCTTGGGACCTGCGTCTGCAGGGCCTGTTTGGGTCAAGAATTTGAGTTGTTGCGGGTGCAGGAGTTTGGGGAGCATCAGGGCTTTGATTTTCACGTCTTCGTTGCAGTTGCGAAAGTTGGGCGTCGTCCCGATTCTGCCGATTTTCCCGGATTCTGCACGAGCAAAGTCCTACCCCTTGCGGATGTTGCATCCAAGCAGTTT